CATCATTGATTGGGAAGTCCTCACGGCCTACTCGGGCGATCCGCTGAAACTTTGCTGCATGGGACTCATCTGGCTCTGCCTCAGCCTGTCGACCTGTGCTGGCACCTGCTCGAACACTTTCTACCACCTCAGCAAGCATGGTGCTGTCATCAAACACAGGCTGAGTGGGCAAGGCTTCTGGAGAGGAAGACGAAGATGAATCAGAGGATGTCGGTGGGTCGGTCCCCATGACTTCCATTGGTGACTCATTCACCGCAGCATGCGCAGGAGGAGGAGGTCTCACACTCGCTGGCACACTGCCTGGGACACTCGCACTCCCTCTGTCGTGACGATCAAGAAGCAATGTGGCTCTGGAGGATGGTGCAGGGTTCGGTGGCTGGCTGCTAAGCGGAGGCATCCCCGCCATCCCCGCCACACTCGGCATTCCTGATGCAACTGCCTGTGCCTCATCACCTCTGGCACCTGACACATCAACTTGCGCACTCTGCTGCTGTTCAAACACCTCATCAGCGTCCTCGGCCGGCTTTGGAACACGATTGCGTGGCTGTGGGAAAATTTTCGCTCCAAGAACTCCCAACTGGTAATTCCAAGGGAAACCCTTTCCTTCCAAAATCAAGTTCACTTCATCCGACCAAGGCTTGGCATTGCGTCTGATGGATCGTGTCAGCCAGACGCCCTGGGCATTCATCAAGATATACATATTGTTTGTTGTAGTTTTCGACAAGAATACTGCCCTATGCCATTTTCGATCCCCTTTAGATTTTCCACGCCTAAAACCCCAAACCGGTTCTCCGAAGCAGGCGAGCTTGGATGCAAAACGGTAACCAGTGGCACGCTCGAATGCAGTTGCTCCGCCTTTCACTCCGAACCTGTTCAAGATGTAACTTGCGTGCACATAGCTCCATGCCATCAAAGGGTGATCTGCACTGATGGTTTCAGCACTCAAGTTGTACTTGACTCTTACCTGATCAAGCAAGACATTGGAAAGACCTCTTACCAAGTCTATGGCCTTCTCCACATAGCCTTTTGATGCATGCGAGTGCACCGGCGCGTCACGGATCATGGTTTTGAACCCGAGCTTGGTCCGAACGTTGACCACAAGACTTTGAAGAGCCAACGTGGAGGGCTCATTGTCACAGCAAAGGAAAATGCTGTTATGGCCTAAGCCTTGCACGAACCTTGTAAGCTCGATTGCACTGAACTTCAGATCCTCGCGCCCCTTGCTTGCAACAGGAAGCCCTAGCACACTGCCGGTGCTGGTGTCATGTGCAACCAGAACGGTCAACTTAGCTGCATTGCCCTGGCCCTCGGCACCTGACACACTGGTGAAGGCATAATCGAAGCTGATGATCGGGACCTCAGTGTCGGCACTCCCCGGCAGTGATTCATGCCGGTCCTCAACACCACGCATGGCCATGCAGTGATCGCACCATGGCCGGAATGGCCAATGGGTCAGCTCATGCAACTGCCTCTCGGCTTCTGTTGGGGCCTTGGTGACGGACTGCCCTTTCGGCTCACGCGTACTGTCATCTCCGACTGTCTGAGCAACTTCGGCACTCAGGGCCAATTGCTGCTTGTCAAGGTAACCCCTCAAGCGATCAAGGCAACGCTGCTTGCTCCCTGAAACGGATATCCCAGCCGACTTGCATGCCGTACGAATCACACTCAATGTGCTCTGCAGGGAAAGCTCAACGCCTTCAAACACAAGAATGTCACTGTTGCTTCCTGGCACTGGCGCCTCGCCTGTGACGCCCTCGGCATCTGGCAACACCTCCACATCCCTGTGGACCTGAGGCACACCTGGCATCGCCTCCACCAACTGTGGAGCAGAAGTGTCCTGCATGTCGGCTTCGGAAGGCTCGTAATCTGCAAGCTCATCAGCATCTGGGTCTCCAGGTTGCGGGCCAGACCAATCAATGTGCCCTTGCGTTGATCTGTGAGGTTCCACTCCAAACTCGGACAACTCTTCACGTGACGAAGAGAGGATGCATACTACATCACTTTCTCCGTGCGGCAAAATGGCCGCAGGCTCTCGCAACTCACCCCAGTGCACGCAATGCTCAAGCAAAATCCAGGCATTATGATCAGGTGTGCACGGCTTGACCAAAGTGGTTCTGCAGGGCCACCCCACTGGCGCAATGATCGACGGATCAATGTAGTGAGTGCTCCTGGCACGAAAGTACAAGTTTCCCGTGCCTGACATTTGCCATCCAAAATTCGCATCGGCCATTTCATTGCAAACTGATGCTTGGACAAACATCACATGCCCTGCTGGACTCAAGGATTCTTGGCCAACCCTGAAAATGCTTGCTCGAACGCACAAGGAATTTCCTTTGAAAGAAATCGGAACCCTCACACCGCTGTCATGCTCAAGAGCCATGTCTGGCTGTCTGACGGGCCACCAACCTGCTTTCATGAGCTTGCCCTTGCACAAGAGAGGCTGAGTCACTGGGGCGATCGCACAAACTTCTCGCCACACCACATGTTCCCCTGTGCTGCTCTCAACGACAAACTCAACTTCACGAAGGTCGTTCACAGCAAGCGGCTCGCCTTGCGCATCACGCAGTTGCAAGTTGTGAGGACCGTGGTCGAAACCATGTTGTGCATACTCAAGAGGCAAGCAACTCATGTCTGCACCTGAATCCAAAATCACATCCAGGGCATCGTCAGCTGAGGGCAACTCTTGGATTGTCTGAACAGCATACACAAAGCCTTTGTTGGGCTCCAAGCGCTTGAGAGTGCTGAGCTCATGCACAGAAACTCCGTGCTCCCACGATCCTGAATCATCATCGGCCGAAATGTCAAAATGGGACACCTGTGGCACTGTGCTCTGATCTGCTGCTGGCGCAGCCTGGGACACCTGTGGCACTGTGCTCTGATCAAAATAAAATGGACCTGCTGGGACTGAACTGCCTCGGGATTCCGAGCTGACTGCATCGCTACTCTCAAGAACGCGCACTGGCTCTGCACTGTTCAAACATGAACCTTCCAGCATTCGGACAATCTCAAGAAATTCTGGTGACAAAATGTCGCTGCTGCACGCCTGGCCGATCGCAACCTGGCCACTGGGACCTGCTGGGCTCTGAACTGCCTTGGGATTCCGAGCTGACTGCATGGCACATGTGACAGCACGAACATGCCCTCCAATGAACCAGTCAGCGGGCGCACTCAAGTCAAACACCTGAACTCGCCGCACTGTTCCACTCGTGCTGGCCGCTCCACCTGATGTCGTGATGGTGGGTGCCTCGCTCGCTGCACTTGAAGGGTTCACCTCTGCAACCTGATGCACGCCTTTGCCTTTGCCTTTTCCATGCAGCAGCCAACAATCCTTGGCAAGATGTCCAACCTTATGGCAGTGATGGCACTTACGCGTCTCCTTCTGTGCTTTGCCTCCCTTTCCTTTGCCGCCTTTCGGCTGGTTGGCATTCTGAGACTTGCCTCCACCGCCACCGGGATTCGGTTTCCCGCCATTGGGCTTGCCGCCCTTTCCACCTTTGTCTTTTCCACCCTTTCCACGACCATCGCCCTTGCCGCCTTTAGGTTTCCCCTTAGCGACCCTATCTACATCCATGGGTACGGGATCACTGGCACTATGGTCACCCGAGGGGCCTATTCCTAAGCTTTGCTGCACTTTGGACGCCGACCAATTGCTGGTCGTCACTTCATATGTCAGAATGAACTGCTTGACCTGCTCATAGCTGGTGTCACTTTTCATCTGAAGCTGAATGTGGTTTCTCAAGTGCGCCGGCAAAACCCGAAGTAAAGTCCCGAGGAGAATATCTGGATTCACAGCCACTCCTGAGACCCTTTCATACTCCTGGGCAAGGCGATCCAAACCGTCAACCTGCTCCCTGGTCGTTTTGCTTTTCACAAACGGGGGAAATGACATGATGGCATTCAGCAGTGCAAGTCCTCGCACTTTCGATCGCGGTGCGTAGATGTTGACCAGCTGCCGCCAAGTCTCATAGCCGTTGCGGTTCGGCACTTGTCGCAACAACATCTTCGGCTTGTGCTGCAGCAGACTGCTAAGTATCGCATACAAGCGGCGCGACCGCTCTGCAGTTTCAGCTGGCATGGTGGGGTTCTCTACATCAAGATTTGACTCGACTGTCTGAAGCTCAATCTCATACTGAGGGTCGGCGAAGATAAGCCAAGCCTTAAAGGCATGTGCCCAATCAAGCCACGACCCCAAGTCACTGTCATGCGAAGTGCTTCCAAAGCATGCGGGCCTATTCAAGATGCGGTTTGCATCACTAAAGCCCTGTGTCCCTGAACTCCTGCTCGGGGACGCTGCACTCGCTACACCTGCCGCTGCAAGAACAGCCTGACTTTGGCCTTGCATTGTCTGCAGGATCTGCTGAAACTGAGCAACATCAAGTACTACCTGATTTGGCACTGAACCACCTGCCGATGGCGAAAACGGATTCGTGCTCATCTGAGGAAGCTGCGGTCCAACTGATGGTCCTGCACTCCCTGACGCTGGAGGCCCTGTCGGCCCCTCACCACCAAGATCATCATCATCTAAATCAGCCATTGTTTCAACAATCAGTCAAGGTCAATCACACTGCGGCTTCCACTCTGCAATGAATTTGCACTTGGTTGATTGGGCTCTAAATCAATAACAGCAGAAGAAGATAATTGCAGGCACTGGAACACTCCACGCTCAGGCTCACGCAATTCAATCGGCTCTGCTGGCGAATCTTTCAACTCCTGAAAACCTCGAGAGGAACTTGTCTGCTCAAACAGCTCTAGGTCCCTGTCAAACGCAGAATGCTCTTCAGTCGGGTGCACGCAACTTTCAACAACACCGTCTGGTATGGCAAACTCTGCGGTGTCTGCTGCACAAAACCCAATGTAAGCTTCTCGAAGATCGCGATCCTTTAAGCACTTAAGGGCAAAACAATGCAGTTCAGAAATTGTGTGAAGTCGCTCAAGCTTAGTATCTAAAGCCTCCTGAAACCCGTGAAGAATCTTGCACCAACCTGCGCGCGTGCGGCCTTCTGGGCAGGGCCGCTGCAACAGTTGTTCAAGATAGAGCTGTCTGATCCGCTCTCGCAATGCTTCAGCAGAAGCTTCACTCGCCGCCGTGATTGCCACTCGGCTTGTTCAAGCAGGATATGGCTCGTCCGGTCAAGAGCCGGGATTGCGATCCTACCTAACTTCACCGAAGACGAAAAGTCAAAGAGGATTTCAAAGCCTGGGCCCCTGGACACCTAAAGTGACGGAAACCCACAAGCGTGTTTCCGAAGCACTGGTCAGCCAGTGCTCCGCTACCATGAAAACAATCCTCTTTCACGCAAACTCTGAGCCTGTAAACGTCGGTCGTAACATGGTTATTCCATGCACTCAAAGCTACATGTCCAAAAGCTACCAAACTGTTCAATCAAAATAAGGGTACGAGTACAAACACAAAATTTGATCATTGGGTCAGCCGCTGGCCTCAGGATGCCACCAGCAGAAATTTAGTTCGTGGCCTGCCCCAAGTCCCGGAAGGCCGTCGCTTTTGCTGTGTTAACAACCCGGTGTATTTAAAATTCGGCTTTGGGGAAGCTATTGAAGCCGGCTTCAGGGGAACCGTGTTTGAAGCCCTATTGAAGCCAGTCCTGGGAGAGGCTTCCAAATACACTTCCCCAACACTGTGAAATAGAGTACGGCACCAGTTTAAGTAAATTGGTGACGTGGAGTATTTGAAGCCCTATTACCCGTCTATTTGGAATTTTAAATATCCCGAGTCCCCTCGGCTTCAAATACCGTCCCAGCATAGCTTCACCAATACTGGGACTGTGTCTGAAGCCAATTTGAAACCGGCTTCAATAGGGCTTCAAATACGATTCCCTAATACTGGGACGGTATTTGAAGCCGAGGGGACTCGGGATAGGCTTCAATAGGGCTTCAAATACGATTCCCTAATACTGGGACGGTATTTGAAGCCGAGGGGACTCGGGATATTTAAAATTCTAAATAGACGGGTAACCATGAGGAATCGTCTTGGGTCAGCCGCTGGCCTCAGGATGCCACCAGCAGAAATTTAGTTCGTGGCCTGCCCCAAGTCCCGGAAGGCCGTCGCTTTTGCTGTGTTAACAACCCGGTGTATTTAAAATTCGGCTTTGGGGAAGCTATTGAAGCCGGCTTCAGGGGAACCGTGTTTGAGGCCCTATTGAAGCCAGTCCTGGGAGAGGCTTCCAAATACACTTCCCCAACACTGTGCTGTGTTAACAACCCGGTGTATTTAAAATTCGGCTTTGGGGAAGCTATTGAAGCCGGCTTCAGGGGAACCGTGTTTGAAGCCCTATTGAAGCCAGTCCTGGGAGAGGCTTCCAAATACACTTCCCCAACACTGTGAAATAGAGTACGGCACCAGTTTAAGTAAATTGGTGACGTGGAGTATTTGAAGCCCTATTACCCGTCTATTTAGAATTTTAAATATCCCGAGTCCCCTCGGCTTCAAATACCGTCCCAGTATAGCTTCACCAATACTGGGACTGTGTCTGGAGCCAATTTTAAATATCCCGAGTCCCCTCGGCTTCAAATACCGTCCCAGTATAGCTTCACCAATACTGGGACTGTGTCTGAAGCCAATTTGAAACCGGCTTCAATAGGGCTTCAAATACGATTCCCTAATACTGGGACGGTATTTGAAGCCGAGGGGACTCGGGATAGGCTTCAATAGGGCTTCAAATACGATTCCCTAATACTGGGACGGTATTTGAAGCCGAGGGGACTCGGGATATTTAAAATTCTAAATAGACGGGTAACCATGAGGAATCGTCTTGGGTCAGCCGCTGGCCTCAGGATGCCACCAGCAGAAATTTAGTTCGTGGCCTGCCCCAAGTCCCGGAAGGCCGTCGCTTTTGCTGTGTTAACAACCCGGTGTATTTAAAATTCGGCTTTGGGGAAGCTATTGAAGCCGGCTTCAGGGGAACCGTGTTTGAAGCCCTATTGAAGCCAGTCCTGGGAGAGGCTTCCAAATACACTTCCCCAACACTGTGCTGTGTTAACAACCCGGTGTATTTAAAATTCGGCTTTGGGGAAGCTATTGAAGCCGGCTTCAGGGGAACCGTGTTTGAAGCCCTATTGAAGCCAGTCCTGGGAGAGGCTTCCAAATACACTTCCCCAACACTGTGAAATAGAGTACGGCACCAGTTTAAGTGAATTGGTGACGTGGAGTATTTGAAGCCCTATTACCCGTCTATTAGTTCGTGGCCTGCCCCAAGTGCCGGAAGGCCGTCGCTTTTGCTGTGTTAACAACCCGGTGTATTTAAAATTCGGCTTTGGGGAAGCTATTGAAGCCGGCTTCAGGGGAACCGTGTTTGAAGCCCTATTGAAGCCAGTCCTGGGAGAGGCTTCCAAATACACTTCCCCAACACTGTGCTGTGTTAACAACCCGGTGTATTTAAAATTCGGCTTTGGGGAAGCTATTGAAGCCGGCTTCAGGGGAACCGTGTTTGAAGCCCTATTGAAGCCAGTCCTGGGAGAGGCTTCCAAATACACTTCCCCAACACTGTGAAATAGAGTATGGCACCAGTTTAAGTAAATTGGTGACGTGGAGTATTTGAAGCCCTATTACCCGTCTATTTAGAATTTTAAATATCCCGAGTCCCCTCGGCTTCAAATACCGTCCCAGTATAGCTTCACCAATACTGGGACTGTGTCTGGAGCCAATTTTAAATATCCCGAGTCCCCTCGGCTTCAAATACCGTCCCAGTATAGCTTCACCAATACTGGGACTGTGTCTGAAGCCAATTTGAAACCGGCTTCAATAGGGCTTCAAATACGATTCCCTAATACTGGGACGGTATTTGAAGCCGAGGGGACTCGGGATAGGCTTCAATAGGGCTTCAAATACGATTCCCTAATACTGGGACGGTATTTGAAGCCGAGGGGACTCGGGATATTTAAAATTCTAAATAGACGGGTAACCATGAGGAATCGTCTTGGGTCAGCCGCTGGCCTCAGGATGCCACCAGCAGAAATTTAGTTCGTGGCCTGCCCCAAGTCCCGGAAGGCCGTCGCTTTTGCTGTGTTAACAACCCGGTGTATTTAAAATTCGGCTTTGGGGAAGCTATTGAAGCCGGCTTCAGGGGAACCGTGTTTGAGGCCCTATTGAAGCCAGTCCTGGGAGAGGCTTCCAAATACACTTCCCCAACACTGTGCTGTGTTAACAACCCGGTGTATTTAAGCCGGCTTCAGGGGAACCGTGTTTGAAGCCCTATTGAAGCCAGTCCTGGGAGAGGCTGTGCTGTGTTAACAACCCGGTGTATTTAAAATTCGGCTTTGGGGAAGCTATTGAAGCCGGCTTCAGGGGAACCGTGTTTGAAGCCCTATTGAAGCCAGTCCTGGGAGAGGCTTCCAAATACACTTCCCCAACACTGTGAAATAGAGTACGGCACCAGTTTAAGTAAATTGGTGACGTGGAGTATTTGAAGCCCTATTACCCGTCTATTTAGAATTTTAAATATCCCGAGTCCCCTCGGCTTCAAATACCGTCCCAGTATAGCTTCACCAATACTGGGACTGTGTCTGGAGCCAATTTTAAATATCCCGAGTCCCCTCGGCTTCAAATACCGTCCCAGTATAGCTTCACCAATACTGGGACTGTGTCTGAAGCCAATTTGAAACCGGCTTCAATAGGCTTCAAATACATTCCCTAATACTGGGACGGTATTTGAAGCCGAGGGGACTCGGGATAGCTTCAATAGGGCTTCAAATACGATTCCCTAATCCTGGGACGGTATTTGAAGCCGAGGGGACTCGGGATAATTTAAAATTCTAAATAGACGGGTAACCATGAGGAATCGTCTTGGGTCAGCCGCTGGCCTCAGGATGCCACCAGCAGAAATTTAGTTCGTGGCCTGCCCCAAGTCCCGGAAGGCCGTCGCTTTTGCTGTGTTAACAACCCGGTGTATTTAAAATTCGGCTTTGGGGAAGCTATTGAAGCCGGCTTCAGGGGAACCGTGTTTGAAGCCCTATTGTGCTGTGTTAACAACCCGGTGTATTTAAAATTCGGCTTTGGGGAAGCTATTGAAGCCGGCTTCAGGGGAACCGTGTTTGAAGCCCTATTGAAGCCAGTCCTGG